GGGTGTGGGTTTCGATCGCTGACCGCTGAATATGAATACAGGAGCCTCCACGACCACTCACCCCGCCTCCTACTACTGCAACTTATGTAAGAGAAGCTCGTCCAGATATCAATTCCGCTAGTTCATGGTCAGAAGTAAACATCAGCTTGGTCGGAAATCACCCTCTCTGGGGTCATCACTTGTACGTATACAAAAGAATCTTCTATGTACTGCGAGAGCAAAGTTTACTAGATGGAACGCGTCTCGATCGTTTGCATCGTATCTCGACCAAAACCGCACTCTATATCATGGTCGCAATGTGTTGGAGCTAGGGGCTGGTGGAGGTCTTCCTGGCATCGTCGCCATAAAAAATGGTGCGCGAAAGGTTAACCTCAATCCCATCCCCTCGTACGGCTGCAGGCGATGTTGAGGCTGAAAACATTTTCTTGTACAGGTAGTATTGACCGACTACCCCGACGCACCACTCATCAAAAACTTGGAGGACAATGTACATGAGAATATGAGTCCGGACGAGGCGAGACGTGGTCATGTACAGGTGCGAACGATGAGTTACTCTATACGCTGTAGCTCATTGCTGAAACAATCGCGATCAGGGCTATATATGGGGACAGCGCGTCGAACCGCTGTTGCAATCTCTAGCTGAGGTCCCCGAAGGAAAACCTCAAGGTTTTGACCTTATCATCATGTCCGATCTAATCTTCAACCATTCCCAAGTACGTAGCCATCTGCCTCCAGGAGCCTCAGACGTAGCTAACCCCTTGCAGCACGACGCTCTTCTCAAGACATGCGAGCTCACGCTATCGTCGTGGATCTCAGAATCTGCCGATACCGACAACGAACCGTGCATTCTCGTCTTCTACTCGCATCACAGACCTCATCTGGCTGAGCGTGACATGGACTTCTTTCGCAAGGCGACGGAGCGAGGATGGATATGTTCCGAGATTGTGACAGAGAAATTTCCGGTATGTGTTTTCGCTTGTGTTAGAGGGCCGTGGTTGACCGAGTCGGTACCAGCCGATGTTCCCGGAAGATCCTGGAGAAGAGGAAGTTCGAGCTACGGTGCACGGATGGAAGTTGATAAAAAGACAGCAAACATAAACTAGCTGTTGGAACACGTAGATGTCGATGCAGCCATGGCAGCACATGTACTTTACTTTTCATATAAATTTATTCGAGATACTCCGGCGGTCTCTAAATGGAAGCATGTGATTGGTTTTCACGGTCGGGTCAGGCGCCGCAACAACCTCCGCCAACGTCCGAGTCCTTCTCTCCTCTCCGACATCTCTTCCTTTGCCATACTCTCTATCACTTCGCTTTCGTAGGCATAACGATGGCCTCTGCAGCTGTGCTCCGCTCGTCTCTCAACAGACATATCACTTCCAACGTGGCCCGTCGCTCGCTCGTCCCGTTCGGTGCGTTGCTACTTTACCACAGGCGCGTTCCAACCTGAATCCCCGGCCATGTAGCTCGCGCCAGCTCCAAGTTTGCCTACGTTCCCGGTGGTCGTGCGTAACTATGCACACGGTTCTTTAACGTATCGGTCTCAACTTTATTTCATTCAGCCATTTACAAGGGCACCGCGAACGATCCTACGGACTTCCCCACGCCCTCTAAGAGCCACGGGTCCTACCACTGGTCTTTCGAGCGTCTTCTTTCGGCGGGGCTGGTCCCATTGACAGCCGCGGCTTTCGCCTCAAGCGGGAGTGCAGCACCGCTGGTGGACGGTCTTCTCGGAATCACTCTCGTTATGCACTCTCATATCGGCGTCCGTTTCCATATCTTTTGATGACCGCTGCTTTTGATTGACTTTTTGTGTACAGTTCGACGCTGTCCTCGTCGACTACCTACACAAGCGCAAGTTCCCCATCCTTGGGCCGCTTTCCACGTGGGCATTGCGCACGGCGACCGTCGGTGTTTTGGTGGGCGTGTACCAGTTCAACACGCAGGATATCGGTACATTATCCCTCCGTTTTCCCGTGTACTTTTGACTAAAGTTTCCTGTTCCATTTGACAGGTTTGACAGAGTTGATTTCGAAGGTGTGGACGGCATGAGATGCCTTTATCAGCACGGTCGCCTACGTTGTCTGTAAGTATCTCCGGAATCAATGCCGAGGGTGATTCTCCAACGTAGCGGATAAGCCGTTGGTTGTATAAAAGTTGCGATGATATGCGGCCTCTTCTGCGTTTAACGTGAGCTGGATACGTACGGGATAATAGCAGATGATCAGCCTCAGGAAGAATGCCGTTGTCATTCCTTGTTTATGCTATAGTCCTCGTCGATTAAGTCATCCACGATCTAAGGACCTGAATTCAGAAGTAGCTTCATACATTTCGATGAATATTACACAACAAGTATTGATAACGAGGACGATTATGGGTGTAGCGGGAAAGTACACACATGCAAGAAGGAAATACAATGCGAGGGAATGGAATGAATGCGAAGAGGATATCGAACATAAAGAGAGGAAACAGGTGGACCCGACACTGTGCATGCGTCCAGGCCTTACACTTTCTTGACAGCGACGACAGAAAGGATGCTCCTTGGTTCAAACGGGTAACGGGAATGGAGAGGAGACGCTATGACGAGAGTTCTGCTCCGGGTATCCAGACGGCGGAGATGAGATGGAGTAGTTGGTATACGCCGCAGCCTGGAGAATGGAACGTCGTTGAGAGGCCACCATCCGCGCCTTGATCCGCCCTGTCATAGAATGGGTCTCCTTCGTCCTGGCAGGAGGGGGGGAAAGTAGGGTGGGTATCTTGTCCAAGACGGGAGGGTCGGCGGACATGTTGCGGTTTACAAGCTCAGGAAGTGCGCAGGGAGGCGTAGTAGACGCAGGCAACAGGAAAAGCGTGCGGTCGCTTTCCACCAAGGCAAGAGGGATTATGGAACAGTTGCCCGATTTCGCATGCTTGAGGTCTCCAGGATGAGCCGACACACAGGTACCGAAGTCGAAGTCTTCATCGAAGCCCTTGAAGATGTTTGTGTGGTCCACAGAGACTTCAGGTAGCACAGGGCATGCCGAGATGGGAGTTGCGAGAAGAGATTCATTCGATGAGTCGGTGAGGGTGGGGGACGGGCACGAGGGAGTGAGGGCTGGACAGGTATCTTTGTAAAGTACCACTGAAGGTCACCCGCATAAATCAGTGTTAGGCGAGTGCATTATTATAGGTAAGTGAACATGACGCGCACCCGGCAGATCTTGGTTACGACGATGATGGTGTGGAGCACGAGGAAGGTCGAGAGCGGTGAGCTTTTGGCGGCTCTCTGTCGATCTGAATGCGGCCTTTGCACGCTGTATGCGCTTGTGTCGAGGATGAGATATATCCTGGACGCCCCGGCGACGATGGAGAAGCTTCCCTGTTCCCGCTGTCGAGATGGTCACGAAGGCGAACGGTTGGTCTTCGAGACTATTGATGAACAAGGAGATAACGACGGTCCAGAGGATGCGGAAGGCACCATGCATACGGTGGGTGAGCAGAAGAAGGCCAGGAAGGACGGCGGCGGAGAATGCCATGTCAGGTAGGGATTGAAGTGGGCGGGGTGGTTGTTCTGCAGCAGGAAGGAGTGGTGTGGTGGCGGGCATCTTTGTGTTGAGAATAAGAGCGTCGGCGAGCAAGTGACGTCGATTGGCGAGCAACAGCACCAGAAACAGGTCGACCGAACATTACGGTGGTAGAACTTCCTTGGTCCAAACAGGGAGGACCAACTGTCATGAGTTTCTATTCGAAGCTTTGACCACTGACCAGGTTTGGTGACTGGTGACTGGTCACCGGTCACCAGTGGTCAGTGGCCCCAGGCTGCGAGCTGCGAGGCCTGAGCAACTCAAGACTCGAAAATCAAGACAAGGTCCAAGGAGACTCTGCCATCTGGACTCTGGAGAGGTCCGACTCGTCCGACTCTTGCAGAACACTACGTCCGAGGAAGAGGTGATGATGGTGTGGAAAAAGAAACAAAATAAATGCCGCCTACCAGGATTGAACTAGTGACCTTCCCATTGACCTGTTTTAGTACAAGTGGGACGCGCTACGACTACGCCAAGGCGGCGATGTCAGACATACTTTATAATTTTACTGATACCCCGGGATGCCCCTCATCTCAACTTCCAAGTCCCAAGCGACGGAGACATCGTCTAAACACGTTGAACTCGTCCGCTATCATCATTGGGAGCTTGTCGGACCTACATGGAATGGTGAACAACCCCGTCTTCAGGCATACAGCGTGCAAGACAGCCAACGTTCAGATCAACAACTTGCTCTAATGGTCGCCCTTTCGTGGAAGCTGACTCACCCAAGTTTGTTTGTGCTTCGCTCTGAGAATCCTTTATGTCTTCGTCTTTGCGCCGTCCCATATATGTATTTCTAGTCCGCCATGATGTTCTCTTGCTTTCCCCCCTCGACTCTTGACTCCCATCGTCAAAAATGCGCCGAGGCTTCCTCCTGGATTCCAACCGTCGGGATCCCAAGCCTTCCCCTGCGGCTGGCTTAGGGTCTACGCCACCTAAGCGTGACACCGTCTCCGTCGCACGGCTCGCACCGATTTCCAATGATGCAGCCCGTTCACCCCTTCCTTTGCCTGTGGCACCCGTTTCTACCAACGACTCCCCCGAGCGAAGCAAATCCTCCTCGACCACCAAGATTCGCATCCCTTCCGGTTTTTTTGCCGCCCCCGAACGAACGCCGTCTCTCCCAGAGATGGAATCGCATTTGTTTAGCCTAAAGCCCCAGCCTCGTCTTCAAATGCTCCACGTTCCTCAGGTCCCCTCCCAACCCGACGACGTCCAGACGTTGTGTATTCTATGGGAGGATACCAGAGCTGCTCTTCGGTCCAAACACAACTTCCCCGCACCTTTCGATCCCTCCATTAATGTCGGTCGATTCAGCATCGTCGACATCGCAGGCAAAGGCAAATCCATGGTAGCTGCGCGGGACTTCGAACTGGGCGAGCTCGTCGTCGCTGAACGACCCTTGCTCGTTCTCCCGGAAACCATGGTCTACCAGCCTCCCTATCGATCCGCAGGCGACGTGATCGCTGCTCTAATCGAGCACACGATGCCGCCCCACGTCAAGCGTCTCTATTTCGACCTCCGAAATTCACACCCAAACACCCCCGGAATGTCGGCCGCGGAGGGCATTTCGAACACCAACGGACTCACGCTGGGACTGTTTCCCGGCTGGCCTGGTCCGTATGACGCCGTCTTTTACTACGTGTCCCGCGCGAATCACAGGTAAGTCTTCCCTGTGCGACCTCAGGATGACGCGTTTTGACCAAGATGTTGGTGCATAGCTGCTCGCCCAACGTTCGTTCCTCGTGGGAACTAGACGCCTTCACTTATGAGCTCCGCGCCCAGCGGCCCATTCGTGTCGGTGAAGAGATCACGATAAACTACACCAACGTCTACTTCCCCTACGAAGAACGACAGCAGGACCACATCAGTCATTGGTGCTTTACATGCACTTGCCGAGCCTGTTCCCTTCCCCCACGTGAACGCTCACAGAGCGATGCCCGCCGTCGGATACTGCACGACCTCATGCCCGACGCCTCCCACGAGCGCGAGATCCTGACCTGGATCAAAAACCCAAAGCTCCCGGACGACCACATCCTGAAGAAATACCTGACATACGTGAATTATATGAAGGAGGAAGACTTGAACGAGGCCGACGACTGGGCAGCCGTCCTTCCGCCCCTGGTGAAGACGTACTGCGCTCTAGGAGATGCCGAAAACGCGAAGCGGTGGGCGACACAGGCAGCGGGCATTGAGAAGGCCCAGACGCGGAAGGAGGGTGTATGGACAGATATAGCGAAGTCTCCTGAAAGGACCGCCTGGTGGGGTTTGCGCCGAAAATCCCCCAAGGTCTGAGGTTTTGAGCGTGGCAGAACCTTTTGGATTGGCCATGGGTATAGCCTGACGTGCTAACGACGATTGGAGGAGAGCGAACCTAGTGTATCGTATTCAGGATGGTACTAGCTTAGACAGAGGCGTGCGCTATTCTATAAGAGCGGGGGAGGAGGAGGATGCCTCAATGCTTCATTCCGTATGTATACCAATTAGCCTTGTGTCCTTAAAGTAAGATATTGGCCTGTGCTTTGCCGTCGTTATAAGTAAAGTTACCACGAAAGACGGGAAAGGCCTCACGTACCTCAAGCTCCAGCTCCAATCTCTGTGACCTATGCATCAAACATCTCAGGATTGATTTCTACCCCATACTCCGTCTTCATCATCTCTGCCATCTGCGCCTCTAGCTGATCCTCGAACCCTCTGCCCTTGTTCGCATTGGAGTCCCACAACCAGCGCTTGACGTGGCTAGCCCAGAAGAGGACGTCGGTGGAGTACATAACAGTGTAGAAGATCGTCTGGTGAAAGTATTCGTTCGTGCGCTGGCGGAACGTTAGGTTAGGCGTGCGAGTGAGGGAGTCTGCCGCAGAGTATCCTGTGAGTTTTATGCGGTTCACGGGCGAGCCGAACATCTGGTTGTTGCCTTGGACGATCCTATAAACTGCCATATGATGAGAGTGTATGTACACCAGTAAAATAAGACGCACCGCATATTTCTTCCAATGAATACAAGCTCCTTGGGCAACTTGTCCGTGTCGGTCAAAAATTCCTTCATTCGCATTTTCATCTTCATGCTCAATTCATACTGGGACAGCTTTTCCTCTTCACCTCCAGCCAAACGAAGCTTCCTGCGTATCGGCCTGAGCAGCGTCGCACTCGCGAATAAGTCTGGCGCTCCGATGCCCCATTCTTCTGCGACGCGTCCGACCGTGCGCATATCCGCTGCCAGAAGCCCCTTCCACAGCTCAGCATATTGGCGCTGAAAGTCGGGATGAAGTCGGACATAAAGACCGTGGTCGAGGAGGACCAGCTGAGGATGGTTCGGGCGGGAAGGGTGTTCTCGCACCATGATGTTGCCCGGATGAGGGTCACAGTGTACCCATCCCCAACGGAAGATCTGAGCACCGAAAAGGTCGACCATAGTCTGCATGATCCACTTGACGCCACCCTTTAGACGTTTCTGATCCTCGCCGGAAGGGGCGGTGGGGGACTCGGCGAGAGAGGACATGATCGGGCGTGGAAGCTCCCGTCCGTCGCCCATGAGACTCATGATCGCCGCACGGTCAGACAGCCGGACGCCGTCTATCCACTCGGTCGTGAGAATGCGCTTTGACGTGTAGTCGGTATAAATTTTCGGGATGTGGACGCGGTCGCGGAGAGCAGGATCTGAGGCTATGAACGATGCGGTACGTAGGCCATTTCGCGCTTCATTCTCGAAGTCGAGCTCCTGGCGAAGGTGGTCGCTGATAAAGTCTGAACATTCGTCAATAAACAGATGTTTTACCAGCCATGCGATGCCAACTTACCGACGACGAAAAGTGCGGGCAGGTCGAAAAACCAGTTCTCGTACATCCACATCACTGCTCTGAATGCGAACAAGTCTGGTTCCATCTGCTTCGAAACGGCGGGCTTCTGGATTTTGACGGCGACCAGCGGACCAGGGTTTCCATTTTCGTACTTCAGCCTTGCACGATGAACCTGCGCGATGCTCGCCGAAGCCATTGCCGTCTCCTCGAACTCTGCGAAAAGACCATCGGGACCACTGGGGGGACGTCCAAATTCGGCTTTGATGACGGCAGCAATCTCGTTGAAGGGAAGTCGAGGTGCGTCGTCAAATAGTCGAGCAAATTTGCTCTGGATGGGTTTAGGGAGAAGGGCGGCGTTCGCGCCAATGGCTTGACCTGGGTGTATGCCGTCAGCGGAAGGTGAACCCTCTGATTGTGAGAGAATACGCACCAAACTTGATGTATAGCCCGCCGTTCGAGGAGAAGAGGTGCAGAAGACGGTCCCCGACGCGTTCATGCAGAGCAGATATGCTTTCACTTTTCTCGCGTGTAAAATTCCACTTGTAGTCAAGCGCAATGATGCCGCACTGGGGTGGGATAAAATCATAAGTAAGGCTCGATTAAAACGAAACCACGCGCTGGGCCGATATGGCAGCAGGAAAGCTTGAGCGTGCGGAGGCCCCGGCTGAGCCAGCCAGAAAGCGAAAAGGGTAGGTAGAGAGAAGTAGAACGCAAATTGAACACTCACAGTGTATAATGTCCTCAAATTTCGTGTGACGGTGCTCGCATAGAGCTCTCTGTCAGCAAAGTATGCCGCTCCCAGGACCGCTCCAACGTAGGCTGTCCTCTTTGCATAGCGGGGCAATGTGTATGGCCGTCGTACGCGTGAAGAAGCGGAGAAATACCGAGAAGCTGAAGCTAGTGAACCCGACCGTGGTTGACGTGCACCTTGAAAGCGTAGACCGAACATCCCAGCCTAGGGTAAGTACGGAGAAATGTGATCCCGTTCGAGAGGGTGGGGAGAGAAGGTTAATATTTCGGATCCATGGAAGGACTTTGATGGTGAAGAAAGCCCCTGAACGGGTTATGGACTAATACGTCGGATGCGAGCACTGCACTCTGGCACTGATACTGACAGCTGAGAGGGTTCATTCAAGGAGATTTCTTGCCGGCGCCGCGCGAGCGCGTCATAATGTCACGTGCGAGGCTTGCCAGGCCGGATGCTGCGTTTAACGTTGAAGCTTGAAGGCTCGATTTCTCGTCATACGATTACCTCGGGCTTGACCAGTATATTACTGCTCTGCCGCTCACATGTCCGGAGGCCTCAAGCTCATAAAATCGGAAATCGCGCATTGAGCCGTACTATCAGCGAGTCGACGTGAAGGGCCTGCCAAACAGCCACTCTACGCTTACCCCCACATTACAGTGATGAAGTCTTTCTGACATGAATCTCACCGCGGTGGCTCTGGCTGCATCCCTGGCAGCTGTAGCCTTGTGATTGATGGGCCGCTACATGGGCCAGTGGTATAAGTATCATACCACCACATAACTAGAGCGAGACGGAGTTCAAGTACGTGCATCTTTCCTGCTACTTTCCTGCTACCACAAGAACACTCGCGTAGTCGTCTATGTTCGTGGTGATCAGTCGAGTAGATCCTACTTACAATCATGAGGGACTTGCCTGTTACGCGTTTTTCATAACCTCA